AAAGGAATATCTCACGAAAAGTATGACGACCAAAATGATGAGAGGCATTCATTCCCTCTATCTAAACACTACAGGTTATCATTTGCTTAACCCTTTGAACGGAGTTTCATTTGTCACCCCTGTCAGGAACAATCCCATACTGGGGCAATTTCTTAGAAAGTTCAAAATGGTTAGAATTTTCTTGCTTTCACTTGCATTAATCTTCAAGTATATTTACTACATGCAAATTCTGTGTTAGCTCGAGTGCCTTAGATATGACGAAGAGCATATTTTTCTATATCCTTACACAGTATACCCTTTGCATACCCAATTTGAGTGGTGAATTCATTTCAACCCGATAGATCATCATTCTCGTGATAAACAAATGAAATCATTTCGAAGCAAGTTCAAGGTGACTTGAGGCAAATGGGAGCTCAAAAGAAAATTCATCAGAAAGGACGCAAAAGGACTCCATTAAATCGAAGTTCTCTCTCTCGGAAAAAGCTCTCTTAAAAAAGAGGGAGAAAAATCTCTCGAAAAGAAAATCTCTCTCTCTCAAAAAAAAAAATGAAAGAAAGAAAGGCTTTGGCGAGAACTGAGTCGATATGCAAGATCATTCTTCAAGGAAAAGACCATTTGAAAGTTCATTTGTGGAGCAATCGCTAGAGATAGATCAATGGTACCAGTAGCATGATTGGATGATGACCAATTTCCATGTTCATAATACCCTCCCTTTGATGGAAATAGGCCATTCATTTCAAGCCTACATGAATCTACGTTACAACCCTTACCGAAGTCTCTTCGGAATATGGTACTTGAGTTAACGTAGAGTTTCAAATGCTTATAAATGTTGCTCGAAGAAGTGCGAGCAAGATTTTTGTATCTCATTTTTGCAGCATTCCTGACTTGTAAACCCGGAGCAGCTGGTGATATCAATTCTTTCAATAGCCTCGACTCGAAGAGTCCCTTTTGCTAAGCCATTGACCAAATCCACGTTTAGTTCTTATAAAGACCTCTCAGATTGGTCAAGTCATACTGATTTTGAGAATATCCGAACCCTTGTCAAGCACGATGAAGAGAGTTTGAGTGATTCTTATACCCGTATCAAAGGTCGGGTCAAAAGCCTTTCATTGAAAGTGAGTAGAAAGTCCTTTCTGATTAAGGGTCTCTCATTTAATGTGATCAAATTGTCAAAAGGACGAAATGGTTGTTCTTATTGATAAATTCCCCAAGAAAGCTTGGTAATGCAAGCGAGATTCATGAATTATGTTTTCTCCGCCCTGCGCATGTATTGTTTTAGCCTTTTCTCGGGTAAAAACAGGTGCAATGCAATTGGCTTTGCCATTTTTATAACACAAGAAGAAATCAGGTACGTCTACTAATTATTCTTCATTGTTTCTCTTTTCCCAGAATGTGAGACATGATCTCTTTCATATGTTCGCCAAGTGGAACAGGTGACATATCATTTGGTGTTGCCAAGTGGAGTACGCGGCACATCCCATTTTATGTTCGCCCAGTAGGACAGGCAGCATAATATCTCATTTGGTGTTGCTAAGTGGAATACGCGGCACACCTCATTTCATGTTTGCCCAGTAGTACAGGCAGCATAATTTCTCATTTGGTGTTGCTAAGTGGAGTACGCAGCACACCCCATTTCATGTTCATCCAATGGAAGAAGTGACATGATCCTTTTTGTGATTGCCCAGTGGTATGGGCAACACATCCCATTCTTTCTTTATATCATGCGCTATTTCGCATCTGTAGGAAACTACAGGTAACAGATAGGCAATTCAGTACCTCGAGAACCTTACTTCCAGTGAACCAGAAGTTTGGAGATCGAGGGAAGTCAAAGCATTATAAAGCTTTCCCTCACTTGGACGCTTTTTGTGCGATCCGTATGTAAGGCTTTTTCACCGCTCTACACTAAGTGAGAAGCCTTAGTATATGTTCTTTATTGTTTGCATATCATGCATCATTGCATAAAAAAAAAAAAATTCATCATTTTGCATAAGTTTAAATTTAGGTCTCAGTCTTTGAGCGAAACCTCTGCGAGCCTCCACTCAAAGAGGGGCAGCTGTTGACACCTAAATTTCGGCGCATCATTTAGTGGTTAATTGCATAGAAAATTACGGATTAAATTTTAACCCCTGAACAAAAATATCACAAATCGCATAGCATAAAGTTTAGGTTCATATAGATTAATTGCATTTCGCATCGGATCGGCGGTGGTAAGCGAGCTAAAAATTCATCACGTAAATCGAGCTCGGGCACCGAACGAGACTCGGCTCACTCGGAAAGCATGGGCCGAAAATCACACGCAAAAGGGCTTGGTTGTCTTAATTTGAGCTTAAATTAGCCCATTATGCTTAATTAAAGAAAAACCCAAATTAATTCAGCCCACTTAGAATTAAATTAAAGCCTAAACCTAAGCCCATTAGGACTAGAAAGCCTAGCTAATTGACGTAGGTTTACACTATAAATATATGTTTATGTCTCATAATCTGGGGAGGGGGGCTCTCATATATTTTCAGATCGGATTTTTAGAGAGACATACGAGAGCAAGGAGAAAGAGAGAGTCGGTCACGCATGCGCTCGCCTCACAGTCGCGCCGCCTCGCGACCGCACCGCACAGATAGCTGCTGCTGCTGTTTCGCGACACCGCCAAACCATCGCTGCGCCCAACGCCGCTGCCTGCGAAGCTTCGCACGACTTGCTGCCCCTGAGACTGGAATACTCTGACGCGACGACGAAGCTACTGAATCTAACCCCCACGATGACGCTGCCGTTATTTGTCGACCATCGTTGTTGATGCTCCATAATACACCGCCACGGCTGATTTCTTTCCCAACGACTAGCACAGCCGCACAATCGGAGTCCCAGCGACAGTCCAGGCGAAATCTCCAACCCTCAGTCCAGCATCATCTATAGCTTCCAACCCGTAAGCGACGCTACCACAGGAGACCATGATCTGACACACCACTTAGCCACGATTGAGGAAATAGCAGGCAGTGACAATTGGATTGTTTATTGGCTTAGTTAAAGCAAAAGTCAAGCTTGGAGCAGAGATGCCCAGATTCAAGCTATTCGTATGGTATGGTATGGTGAGAGCTTAAAACAAAAGAGCGACACACTCAGAAGATATTTACATCTTGTCTTCGCTGCAAGTCACGGCCAAAGGGCGGCTAGACTGAGTGGTCGAGAACTTCCACACTTCGAACTGTCGCAAGCTAGCCAAGGTCGAGAATTGCGAGCCACCGCCGGAAAGCCGCCCGTCCCCGCTTGTTGGCCGCTACCCAGAGACGCCCACCGTGCCACCGTTCCCATCATGTCACCGTCGCTAGCCGCCACTGTTCCCGAAGTCGCGCCGCCGCTCCTGACGCACCGCCGATCCGCTGCAGATTCAAATTAGGAAAGAAATCTGCAAATCAGGTAATTATCATATCCCGATTTGATTCGAATATTTGGTTGCTTAATTTGTGCTTATTGATATCTAATTTTGCATATTTGGATAATAAGCATTATTCCAATTAGGTTTTTATTTTCTTTTTTTGAAATCTTGGATATCTATTACTTTTCAAATTTGGATAGAATTTAGAATTTTCAAAATCTTTTGAATATATCCAAGATATTTAAGATATCTAAATTTTTTCAAGATGCGATCGATTAGGAAAATTTCCTAATCCGCAACCGCACACGTGGAAATAAATTTATCTATCAGGCTTTAGATAGAGTTATTTCCATAGCGGGTATTTCGAATTTTAGGATCGATCTGTCAGGCTTCGGATCGAAACTTAATTCGAAAGATTTAGCGGTTATATTTTTTTTACTGGATTTTAATTTCGAATTTCGATAAAAAAAATACTAAAAATATTACTCTAGAATAGGTTAATTTCTTTAGTTTGAAATTGCATGTTTAGATAATTGACATTTTTAATTCCGAATTTCATTAAAAAAATACAAAAAAAAAATATTATGCCCGTCATTAGAAATAGGTCACGTCGTCGCATGACATATAGTTTGCATGTTAGGTTGCATTAATCGCATGTCAATTTTTGCACGCCATTACATATAGGTTAGCTTTCCTTTAAATAAATAAAAAAAATCAAAAAAAGAAAATTTCTGCACCTTTGAACTCTAAGTCAGGATTTATCAAAATTGTCAAATTAAGTATTTTTCTTGAAATTGGTACCTAAAGGGCGTTAGGGAATCTAGCGTAACCAAGTCCCCGAATTCATAATTTCTGGTTCGCAGAAATAAAATAGTACTCCCGCTATTTTATTTAGGTTTCTAATCAACCTACCTTAAATGATTAGTGGCGACTCCCATTGAAAATATTTGCATGCTTACAATTGTACGTAAGTTGCGATTTGGTAGAGTTTGGAAGAACTCGAGCTAGGTTAGTTAATTTAATTGATCTAGTAATCCATTAGCCTAAGATCGGAAAACCCGATTTTTTTTTTAGGTCGCGACAGTGATATAACTGTCGTGACTTCTATGAGAGCATCAAGCTATTGACATGCTCATGGCCTCTGAAGGATTTGAAACCCCCCCTCCCCACTAGCTGGAGAGTTTGCTGCCATCGGAGTTACTTCACATCTCACTCCATATATTTCCTTGAGCATAGACTGTGTGACTAGACTACTGTCAGCTGAACGTTGCTGATTCATTGCAATCTTTCGCTGAATTTGAGCCCGTGATATCGTAAGCTCTAGAAGCTGCTTAGGAGATGCAGTTTGATCTAGTGCTCACGATCTAAGTCTGTAATGTTTTGTCGGTTTTCTATCGGTGTAATCGATATTCTATTCGAGTTGTCTTCTCTTCTACTTGTTCTGGTACTAGTCCCAAGTGAATCCACAGTATTATACGAACTAGCTTGTTTTGGTAGTTGCTATTGGCACTAGTAGTTTGTAAACATGTGGCTCGACCTACTGTTTGATGCCATATAAATATTGAGTTTGTGCGCTGATGTTTGATGTCACCTGTATTTGCCAACAGAGAGACACCCAATCATATCCTCTGGGGGATGAATAAGAGTTTATTCCTGCATTTTTCTACATCCATTGACCTTACATTCTAGGACTCGAACTAATTCTCGGTGCAGAGAACATTCGATTTGACCATTTCTCTCAGCTAAAACCTAAACGATCCAAAACCAGCCAATGATTGAGCCGCTGACCAACCCAATTCCCAGAAACACAACCATCATGATTGCGGCAAACTCTGCCTCTGAAGCCGGCACCGACTTCGGTGTCAGAATCATTAGGACGCTCGTCAGGTAACCATTTGTTGACCCGAGCATGAACGTCAATGTGGCCATCGGAGCTTCGGTTTTCAACCAGTCGGGTCCGTGGAGAAAAACATAGAAGAGGGCATAGAATAGGAGCCTGGAGACACAACCCCATGTGGCTTTCTTCAGGCTCTTCATGACGTAGATCGCAGTCAGGGACTTCCCGGCTAAATCGGCAACATTGTATATCGTGATCAGCAAAACAGGATACCAATCCTGGAGAACCTCGGATTTCAAGTCCTCTGCGATGAATCCGGGAAAAATGGACAGCGTCACTAGATATATCATGACCATGGCGAGAGCAGGGAGCCGGATTTTCTTGGCTACAACCCAGAGCTTCAGCCCTGGGCATTGGAGATTGTCCTGATGAAACATGTAATGTTGGCGAACAACTGGCAACTTGTACAGCAGGTTGGAGCAGACGAGGCACAGGAGCAGAATGAAGGTGCTCACTATGAAATAGAAGTGAGAGCTGGTCCGGAGACCTTGCGGATTCTGTGGAAGAGATGCTTTTGTGATGATCCTCAGGATTGAAACCAGAACTCCTGTCGACACCAACAAATGCATGTTCAGGTGAAGTCGACATTCTCTTGCATGTTCAAAACTTCTTTTGATGATTTATCAATTTTTCGTTGATGGTTTGTACCTATGAATCATGTTAGGGCAATGCCCATCCTAGTGATTGAATCATGGAATCATTGAATGCTAGTAGAAATGGCCCAGGATCTCTGGAAAAACAGTAGTTCTGCTAATGATTAAGGAGCAAAATCAAGAAGCCACAGAAACTGACCTGAGGAAGCAGTTCCGGCGAACACAGCCTGCATGTACTGTTTTGGCAATTTCCCAGCGGATCCAATCAAGCTTCCTCCTATCAACCCATCGGCCAATCCGCACATGACCACTGATGAAACCATGACACCATATGCCACTTTTCCTCCTCTTTTCGCCCCACTGCCACCACCTGAAGTCCAATCCATGATTGGAGCCACCATCAGGGATAGAATAAACAACGAAAACCCCACATTCATCCTCATCCTGAGGCTCAACTTCCTGCTCCATCCGCCCAAGCCCACCACGATGACCAAAACCAGCACCGATGAGCTCATGTATGCGACTGAGAAGACCTTCTCGATGTGCTCGGTGGGATAGAGATAACCGAAGTAGTCCACGGCAGTGATAAATGCATTCCAGGGTAGCAAATTCCCAGCACCTAACAAGAAATGGATGATATAAGCAAGCTTGTAGGTGTCTAGTGGCTGAAGATCATCTCCAGGACCCTTCAAGCTCTCCATGTCTTTTCTTGAACTTGAACTCTCCCTCAACAGTTTTAGAAATTTGAAGTGGAATTTGAGCACACACAAATAAGGGAGTCTTGGCACATTTTAAAGTGATCATTGATTGGAGGGGCATTAGAGGAAAAAGGAAAAGCCGTGTCTTGACAAGATGTTGGGATTGTGATACTTGCAATTGAAAGCCACAATCAGAGGGAGGAATTAGAGTAAGAGCCAACAATGCCCTATTTGACAGCTTGTGTCTCTGCGTTTTTTGAGCCAAGGATTTGATTGATGGGTTAGCATTTGGAATAAGTGCAAGCTGGGGCATGTACAAGAGTTGTGTGTTCTCATTGTGGGGTCACCAATGGATGGGCAGCATTAGAAGTACTCTCTGAGTCCCGGTTGTCCTGCTAGACACTGGTATGATTGTCAGAATAATTGACCTCCGCAAGAATTTAAAGTTTAAACTCATCTCTTTCTTTTTGAGTTTCATCATTGGCATCACCAATCATGTGTTTCTGAGCCGTCGAAACCACAAAAAAATCATCAACTTCATTGCACATACTGACTGCAAAGTAAAAGTCTTTTTCACGTTTGCGGCTCAATATTCCTAGAGAAGATTGCTTTCACAACGACTCTTCGAATTGGCGAATGTCATGTTACTAGTATGCCTCGTGAGGTTGTGCAGATACTCTGCTTTTTTCGGGCAGGAATTTGACGATAACAAAGGAACACCTGCTCCATGTGCCCAGATACCTTCTAAAAAAATCTCAATTATACAAGTGTCATCTTTACATGATCCCTCGCTCATTTTTGGCATTTGGCACAATCGACTTTCAATATTTGTTTTTTCTTTGTATAAAAGGTTGCGGTCACTTTCTCCTACTGCACAAGGTAACAGAAAAGGGCAAATAACTATCACTTCTCCTGAGCTTGCTGTGGTCCCTGAGCTTGCTCAGGGAAAGACGCAAGTGGGTCACCATCTTGAAGAGAGATTTAAAGAGGGAGAAGATACAAAAAGAAGGTTCTTGTCAAATGAGGGGCTAAGGCGTGCCTTAGAGGTTGCCTCAGTTGATTAGATTAGCCCCCATTCACTTGCATGAGCAACTTTGATTCTGTACCCCTCAGATATCTATCCATTGAGGGACCATATCATCCGAAGTCATTTTATGAAAACAGGCCAATCATCTTTCAAGAAACCATTAAACATATTCAATTCACTTTAGAGAGCACCAGACCCAACATGTTGTTCGCATCGTTATTGATTTTGTCTATTACATTGCCGTCCGAACGAGCCTAACCCACTAATTTGTTCCGTTTATAATTGACATGGGAATCTCGGCTGGGAAAAGGAAGCTCCATGTCCACCATCCCCTGTTTGACACCTGTCATTCAATCACCACCTTTCTTTCTTTCTTCCCAATTCCAGTTCAAATTTCGGTCTTCCCCGTTAAAGATGGGATCTACACAATAACAGGTATGTCTAGTGCCCAACAAACAGGAATTCATGAGCTAAATATGGAAAAAAAAAATGTGCCCGGAATTCAATCTGCACGATGCCATGTTTCGGCATCTAATCCTAATCTGATGCGGACGGTGGCATTGTTACTGCACCAACGAGAAACAACAAGATCATGCAGTCTCCTGCTTCATTTGGTTTGCTGCACAAGCATAGCTGGTTTACTACTGATAAGACTCTTGTTCAAGGCAGCCGTATGAATGGTTATCACAGCCGGAGGAATAGGAAAAAGTTTGGCCCCGCTGAACGGAATATTCTATAGCTAATGAGGCAACATAGACAGGAGGGAGTGTGATGGGTACAGCAACGCTTTGACATTTGATGGCAAACTTGACAAGAAATGTGCTTATGATGCCCCCTAGGCTTAGGCGTTTCAAGAGCAGCCCCCCCACCACAAAAAAAGCATCAAGAGGGCATATATCGAGCCCTGCTTTTTTTTTCATGGGGTCTTCATTTTGCATCAAATCAACTGATTGGTATCATGAACATCGTTCAGAAGTTGGTTCTGGTTTCGAAATTCCACCAGACCATCATTTGTCATATGGTCTGTTCCTTTCTAGGGAAGTTGACGATGATTGCTGTAACGCTATTATTAGTGTAACGCTATTATTAGTACTTTGAATCTTTTTGGTGGATGTCCCGGGCAAAGGGTTAATGTACCACTCCCGATGACCAGCTTCGGTTACAATGTGGGATTTAGATTCCGCCTAGCATGGTCTGAGAACAGACCGCGACAGAGACCAAAACAGAGGGGAAAAACAGAGTGAGTGAGGGAGAGAGAGATAGGGGAAGAAAGAGGAGAGAGGTGGGCAAAGGGAAGGTACCTTGGCCGAGAAATATTGGGTATTCCTTGAGTGCGGCGTGGGATTTTCGTAGATCCAGTCGTTGGTTGCTGCGCATATAGATCTAGGCTAACTCATTTTCATTTTTCATTTAAGATGCAATGCCGGATGGATCCATTCTACATAAAGTTTTATTTGAGATGTAATGTCAAGTGAGACCCACTTTACACAAAGTTGTTTGAATCGGGCCCTGCAAAGTACACAATTGGGATCCATATCTCATTGTAAGAATAACTGTGGCCCACATGATGTTATTAACTAATGCTTTAATAAAATTAAGTGCTAAAACATATTGGCTATGAAAAAGATGAAAATGCGCAATTCTATTATGAAGTTACAATTCCTCCGAAGAGGTGCAATGAAATGTGTTTTGATGGAAAGCATCTAATGATAGCCTGTATAAATAGAGTCTGCTCCTCTCTTCACCTATGGAAAAGGAATGGTTGTATTCTATCCTCCATCAGATAAAATACGTTAAGAGAGAAGTGGGTTAAGAGAGAGAAATCGAATTTCTTCTCTTCTTCTGTTTTTGCAACAATTATTTTCAAAGGGAATCGTTAAGGAAAAAGTTATGTCTTCTTCTCTCTTATTATAAAAAATCATGAAGATCTAAGTTCTCGAATTTCAAAATTTTTCCGTATAAAAGAATTACGTTATCGCTTAGACTAACTTCATTAAAAAGGACGAAGGAAGAGGGGACAAAAGAGCGAGGGAAAGAGAGAGAGACGAAGAAAAAAAGAGAGAGAAGGGGAAAAGGGAAGGTCCCTTGGCCGAGAAATATTGGGTACCCCTTGAGTGCGACATGTGATTTTCGTAAATCCCTTCATCGGTTGCTACATGAAAAGACCTAGGTCAACTCATTTTATTTTTCATTTAAGATGCAATGTCAAGTGAGACCTACTTTACACAAAGTCACTTAGATCGGCCTTGTATAGCACACGATTAGGACCCACGTCCGATTGCATCGAAAAGTGCGAAGCAGACTTCAACTGTCCTTTTCATTATTCTTTCGCTCTGCACGGTACATACACTCCGTTTACTCTTTCTCTCTTTTCGCACGTCCCTTTGTACTTCTCTCTCCTTTTGAAACCCCTAACTCTAAATCCATTCGCAAGTTGTAGCCACCTCGGTCTTAGCCATGACAAGTGGTCATTCGCGGGTCGTCGTTTGCGAATCATAATAGCCATAACACTGGTTGTCTTTTGCAAGTCCTTGATAGTAAGATCGTGTGGTATGCTTCTTCGGGTCATTTTCTTCTGCTTCTGCTATGCATTCTCGTTGTGGTCATTCGCGAGACGTACCGGCGCAGTTGGCCACAATGCAGTTGTAACCTTTCCCACTCATGGTCGTGACATATTTCTCTATATATAAGGAAGCTAAGTCTTTACTAGTATCTTTGGATCGATGAATACTATTAATCTCCGCCTATTCCTTGTATTTTCCCTCAAATTGATGGTTTGCCTTGGAATGAGGATAGAATTTTAGAGATTGTGAATTTCAATTTTTAGGCACCAATCTTCGACACACCAAATTACTTTAGTGTTCTGAAAATTATGTGTGGTTGTGATTATGAATCTCCTATGTTATAGTATAGATCCATTTTTCTCGGAGAGAGACTACGGTTGAAAAGCTTTCTTGTCAATAAAACTAAAGATCGCGTATTATTTTCATATTTTGATTATACATTGATGAACCTTAGGAAAATTGATAAATATTTCTTATTCTGACTAACGAGTTTGAAGACGTTCTAAACATGTAAAATTATGTAGATTTCTTTAATGTTAATATATTTTCGCATTAGGTTTTCCTTAATTTGGCAATAATATATACCTAAATTTTTTGGAAGATATCAATCGAATTAGCAATTCCGCCGGTTAAATTTTAGCACCATAATGAATAGGATATCGTTAAAATCACACGTGGCGGCTTATGAAACTCTTTTTTTTAAGCACTGATGACGTAATTAATCCCACTGATGACCTAATAATTGGGGGTGGATCGCAAACGTGCAATTTTTCAAAACGCCAAAATAATTAGCCGCTGACTACCCAAAGTAAACCCGCTTTTTTCTCTCTCTCTCTCTTTCTCTACGACACTTCACTCGAGAGAAGTTCGCCGGCGATGCAGAACGACGGAGATGCGGCGGCGGCGGCGGCGTCGCAGCAGCCGGAGCCCGGCAGAGGCGCCGGCGGGAAGGTGAGGAGGCCTCCGAACCGCAATCCGCGGGCCACGCCCTACGCCCGCCCTAATTCAAACCGACCCCAGGCCGGCGGCGGCGGCGGCGGCGGCTGGCTGTCGAAGCTGGTGGATCCGGCGTACCGCCTGATCTCCGGCGGCGCCACCCGCATGCTGCCCTCGCTCTTCTCGAGGCCGCCTTCCCCTGTTTCGCTGCCTCCTCTCTCTGACGATGACGAGGACGAGGACGAGGACGACGGTCTGTTGATCTCTCTCGGTTGCGCTTCTCTAATCTTCGCTGCCTCTAGTTGTTCTTGAGTGATTTGGTTGGTCGGTATGGATGATCAGATGAATTGGGGGTTAAAGTTTTACCCTTTCTCGATTAATTCTCGTGATTAGGGTTTCTTGCTTGTTTCTGCTCTGTTTAAGAGAGGTTTCCGGGACTTTCTGGTTGAGTCCGCAATGGAAGCGCGTTGTTCATTCCTTGTTGACGTGAAGTAGTTTCCTTTCCTTCTCTTTGTTTATGCTGTTTTCGGGGATTGAAGTAATTATTCGTTCCAGATTGATTGAAATCTTTTACCAGAGTATTAGGAACAGATAAGGAAGGGAAAATGACGAATCTAGGAGGGAAGGAGAGTAATAAGTGTTGATGAAACGAGATACGGAGAGAGAGAGAGATGGTTAGAGAGAAAAAAGCATTGAAATTTGCTAAAATGTGTTTCTTACTGATGTTATGCATACACATCCATGAATAAATCTTTGAAAGTGGTGTCTCCACACCATATGTGACCCCACAAAATAGTGTTTCTATCATCCCCCACTAGATATAGAAACTCTTCTTGTGAAAACATCTCGGCATTGCCTAATGTGCTTTCAAAGCCCGATTTTATGTGCTCCTTCACTAGATTTAGCTATCCACTCTGTATCTTCCAAACCAAGTTTCGCGACCATTACCCTCCTCCAAAGGCTAGTTTTCTCCACATTAAATCTGCACAACCATTTTCGAAGGAAAGCTCTATTTACCAGAACCAATGCTTTACCCCCAACCCCATTAGCAACTGTTTGTGTCACAATATTCCATTTAACTTGATGAAATCTCGGATTTTCATCCCAATCTAATAAGGAAATTATTAATTTCAGTGTGCAAGGACCAAATAAAATAGAGTGGGAATTGTGAGAACCAAATTTGGTCGGACAACCCACTCTGCAAATCTAGACTCCATTATGTGTATTTTTTTTTTAATGTTATTTTCCTTGTCAGAAATATCTGATAATGAAAGATAATATGTTTCTGTAGCTTGGTGTTTTAATATTCGCTGCATTATTAGAATCTGTTTGTGGAGCAGTTTCTGATTCAGGGGATGTGCTTCTGACATACAAAAGTCGTTTATGACTATGAGAAGTCTTCAAGGATTACAATTGAACAAAAAGGATAGTGTCTGAATGAATAATATAATTAGGGATCAATTGCACAACAGGAAAAATTTCATGCGGTGTTTGTGCATTCCTACTGTCATGAATGCTTGTTTTTGTATGGCTGATCTTGTCTGCCACCATCTTGCATTGATTTTCTTTTTTAGAAAGGAAATTTGCTTCATATTGCTAGCTTAATGATCTCTGTTGAGGAAGTTTATCGTGAAGTATGCGTTTGAGGTGAATTTTACTTTAAACATTTGAAATTCGATTTTTGTTTAATATCAAACAACCCCAACTTTTAAAAGCATATAAATGCTGACATTTAGAGTCATGTAGATTTTTTCCTTTGCGACTTTAAAAGATAAATTCTTTATTTTTATTTGGGCAACTTGAAATAAGTTTCTAAGCTGCCCCCTGCCCCTAGCTCGAGATAATTGATTCTCTGCTTGTCCAATGTATATACTCCCTTTCTGGGCAGTTTTGGAGTGCATTTTCTGCTCAAGATAATTTTGTCTGTTTACTTTGCATATATTCAGTTCTTGTTTTTTTTTTATGTGTATCTGTTTCTTTGAGATAAATGAGTGTGTTGGTCTCTTCTGGGAAGTTATAGTGGATGGCTACTGCTTGTGATTTGCATGTGGACCATATAATCCTCTCTTCATTTTAGTGCACATCTTCTGGTTATATCTTGTAGTGTGACCGTTTGTAACTTTCATAGTCAGACATGCTTAAATTTCTATTTCTGTATGCTATGCCATGCTCATATTTTCAATCAGTGTGATGCTCTGTTATAGATAAGTCGAAGAGAGAGATCGATCAAGATGTTAGAGGGAGTAACCACGAAGGCAATTCAGATGTAAGTTACTGAATAGCTCTTGTTCATGTTGAGGCTCTCCAGATTGTATTCTGGTTAAAATTCTTGCAAATTCTTTCATGATTTCTGGATCTTGCATTTTCTGGGATATTGCATGAAGTCTTTGTCGTTCTGGTCGACTGGGTTCATTCTCAAATAGTTTTATAATCTTGAAGTTACTGAACTAAAAGAGTGACTGACGGCGCCACGTATTCTTCTCCAAGTATTGCAACTTTGTCCCTATCTTCTTCATTTTCTTGTCATTTTTGTTCCTGTTTTCTTTTGCCAAAATTCAAGTGATTCTGCCAAATAACTTATGTGGCGTGCCATTGCCTATCTTTTCGTGGGTAAAGATGCATGCTTGGCTGTCATGTTTTTCAAGGATGATTCTTTCCTACATGTGACACCCTTGCTCGTGTGGCTCTATATGCACGCGGCTTTCAAGTTCGGGTGTTTGGATTAAATATCTTGTCCCAAAAGTAGCACATGTTCTTATCTCCATCAAATGACATGGTATAGGTCTTTCTGATGCGAGACATAGGTTTTTTTTTTTAATCTCATAGTTTTCTACCATTGGCTTCTTTTGTCTTTCTTTTTAATATAACTTTGATGATGTTCTTATTAGATGCAGCTGGGGTTATCAAGATCAGCAGAAGTAGGAAATGCTGTTGCATCTGATGTACCAAAAAGAACTGTTTTTGATGGGTACAAAGAATTCAAAACAACACACAACAAAGTAACAGACCTCCCAAAAGATAGTGCCCTTTCTGAAATTGAGCAACTGATCAGAGGAAAAATGTTCTCCAGGTAAGTCAACCTTTTCTCTAAAGATTAAATGTACTTGGTACTATGTTGTCCCAGTGCACGTTGACCTGTGAGGTGCTTTATCTTTTTGAGTCCAAGCATGTATTTCTCTTTTTGAAAAGTCATTTGTGATAATTTTTTGTGAAAATTTATCTTTTGATAACTTCTGTTGTCTTACCTTTAAGTTCTTTTGTGAGGGAGGGGAAAGGTAAAGATAAAAACAATGACCTCTTAGGTGTTGGTGAGGGGAAAGCACCACTAGGCTGAACCTTGTTTCTGTAGTTTGTTCTGCATTGTGTACCTTTTGCGGAGAGTTTTTTTTTTTTCTTCAGGTAAATTTTTCATTTCAAATAGCTTGTTAAGTGCACTTGGAACAACTTAAATGTTGGCAAAATTTCAACCCGTTTATTAGAAATTCCTTTGTCCTTGACTCCTTAATGGCTCATTAATCTTGCAAAGTAATTCTGGTTGACAATGTATATTTGATAGGGACTTTGCAATCGAACCAACAATATTTGTTCATAATGCTATTCAGGGATGTCTTCTATATTCCATGCCTTGATGGTTTTATCATCATGCAGGGATGAAATTAGTCGTCTGACCGAGATTTTAAAATCGAAGACTGTTGATCTACCAAAGATGAAGGAAAGGGAGAACAACTCTGAAATGAATGCCATGGGTGAAGTTGAGGTCCATGCAACTGTGCCTCACATTCCAAGCAAAACAAATGGGGGGGAGCAGGGAGTTTTGAACAGAGCTCTATGGGAAGTTTCAACGCCCCTTCATCATTCAAATGTAAGTGGAGTCGATTCTTCAATACGTTTCTCTGTCAGAACATCTTTTCTCCTGCGAATGTTTGTCCTAGAGTACACAGGCATAATACCAATGAATCGAAGCAACTTGTTTAGAATATCATTGTTGTTTTAGATGTGAGTTGAGGATTCTCAGAATATGAGAAGGACCTACAGATCCCCCGAGTTAAAGAGAAAGTTATAGGATTGCTGTAATTCATATTTTGGCCATCATGACTAATAAGTTTGGTTGGCATCGATAGTTGGTAACTGATGCTTGGTCACTTGATGGTTTGGCAACTATCAAGATGCCTTCTTTTGAGGTTTGTGGCCTACATCTAATTATATTGTATTTGTGTGTTTCCAGCAGCTTGAAATTATTTTTACTGAGAAAGTTGAAGGTAGTTTAATATTGGAAAAGCTGAAGATAAATCTTATTTTTACATGGCAAATAGCTCATTGAGACGAGATTTTAAATGGATGCATGTGATTTTTGTGTTCCTTGCCCCAACTTTGCCTCAAATTGTTCATGAAGTATAATGGAATTTCCCTTATGTGCTTTTGAAGTGTGTTTGATGAAGCGTATAGTGAAGAAATGCTCTTCCTGCACCTCTGCTATGCTTGTCTTGGAAATATTAGAAGGGTATTCGACTGAGCCTTGGCATATAGCATTAGCGAGTCTTTGTTGGTGTTGATGATGACCTTTTGCTTCTTTCTAGTACTAGCTGTTTTGTAAAATTTTGTGGGACCACAATCAACTATTCTAAAAGGTTAAGTATTAGATGAAGGTGCGATTTAATATTTAAGGGTATGTTTTGTTGCATTTAAACAAAAATGAAAGATTTTTTTTTCTTTCCTGCCAAAATTTGAAAAATATTATTCAAAGTTCAAAAAAATTATTAAAAAGTTAATGTAAATTTACATAACAACACTTGAGTGTCATGAAAGTTTAAGTTGAGGCGCAAGATATAGATTAAGCAAAAAACAAAATGTAAAATTTAATTGAGACAACCCCTAAATGGTTTGATACTGCCCCTCACACGTAGGTGTGACTTTGATCTAAGACTAAAGCTTGGAAATATATATGGGGAGGCAAATGAGGGTCGTGGAAGGATTTGGATTTAGGATCTCATGTATTCTAAAAGTTTAAGCTATTAAATCAATGCGTGATTAATTATTTAAATGGTGTAACATGTTTGATATTCTCCCTCTGCATGTCGGGACATTTCACAAAAATAGCGTGGATTGCTTCTTCATGTTCATAACATTTAGGCATTTTCTGGTGCCGTCTTGTCTATTTAAGAGCATTAGATTGTCTCTTTGGTATTCTAACATATACATCCTATTAAATGTGCCATGATGCCATCTCTCAAGTTTATAAGTTACTGAAATTTTTCTGCTGTTTTTTCGTCTGTTTTAAAATACCTATGTATCTATATCTTTTTCAATAAATCTACTCAAGTAGTACTGTATCTTATGCATGGAGTGATTTTCTTAGATCAAAGTGGAAGCCATTGGTGCTAGCTCATGAATTTTAATATGGTCTTAGCAATGAAATTCCATTTATTTAATTGTTTTGCCTCTGTATATATATGGGGAGTCCATCTTAGACGAGAAGAAATTTTCTTCAGGCGTTAAGAGTTCCACTTCAGTCTAGGTATAGTTATCTTCTGCTGGTTTGCACCGAATGTATAGAGTTGGTAATTTTTGTTCTGACAGTGTTTATGGTGCTCTGAGAACTCTGCAGTTACGTGACGAAATCGGTGCTTCACCTGTTGACATTGCTAGAGCATACATGGGAAGTCGAACATCAGAAGTTGGCTCTATTCTTAAAAGTAACCTGCCAGAAGATCCGAAAGCATTGCTTCATGGAGATGGCTATTTACATAAACCTTTTAGTCCATCACCTCTACCCAAGTCATCTGTATGCTGGCCTGGTTCAGTAGTACAAGATCGGTATTTGACCCCACAGACTCAAAGAGGTAGCCATGGGACTCCGACTTTCCACAGAACCCCATATTCGAGACCTGTACATTCTATGTCCAAGTCTAAGGTATGTGAAACATGTTCCGTGAATCTTCAGTTTCGATTTTATCTGTAACATAAATGCCATCAATGTGGACATGCTCATCTGCTTGTGAAGCAAATAGAGTAATCCCATTTGTGCTCCAATGACAAATGGGAGAAATAAAGTCACCAGAGGCAGCTGCAACTGAGCTAGTTCTGGTTAATTACCTCTATCTTTTATCGAAATGGTGTTAAACTTAACGGACAGATAGGAGAAATGAAGTAGAAAACCAATGCCTATTTACTGTTTCACTGTCTCTTTTGCACTCTAATCTGTCATTAAAGCAAACTGAAGCTGGGTCTGGGTGAGTACTTTTTCTGGCTAAGCATGGTGCAAGTGCGTGCTTGTTTCTGGAAGCAATTGGATCAATTATTGTGGCAATGAAAATTCATCAAGAATGTGGAACCCAGTTGAATGTCTCCGACAGCAGTAATGATGAATATGGATCTTTGTTTTTGGATTTGTTTGTTCTCAGTCATAATAAGCTTCGACTCTTGTGGTTACTAAAGTTGTGTTTTTCCATGCTTATAAAGTGAAACTTAAGTCGAAAAGTTTTTTCTGTCCTCTCTGATTACATTTTATGATTCTGGTGAACTGAAATTGATTGTATTAAATTTGTTGGAATGAACGCAGGTTAGATTCAGAGAGGATGAATTGCATGGTGACCATGGATCCATAGGACCCATTCGTAGTTCAAGGCAAAAGTTCGTCACTGGAAGTGCCCAAAAATTTAGTAGTTTTCCTTCTTTAGTTGGTTCTTCCCAGAGAGAAACAATTAACTTTCGCATGCCTTCTTTGCCTGCCTTCAACAAGAATATGGAGGCTGGAGGAACAAGTAGCAGTTCAAAATCTCAATCATTAGAAAACAAGTCACTGAATTTTGAGGTAGGTGTCCCAACCGTTCCCACACATTCTAGTCAGATGGCTAGAAAGATACTGGAGCATCTTGATAGAAGCCTTCCAAGTCCCAAGGATAAGGCTGTGGAGTTGAAGGAAGCCTCTTTGAGGAAAAAATCTGAGTCTTCTGATGTTGCTCATTCGATGTCGAGTAGTGGTAATTTATCGTATCTGTCTGCTTCTGTTAAATATGGCAAAGCAGACAAGACTAACCAGATGAATGCTGCTCTTCCAAATGGAGGTACAGGAACTTCATTTTTTAGAGTTCCAGCAGAAGAGAATGTTAACAAAACTGCTAATGCTGCAAAAGGACGCTTTTCCGGTTCTGATGAAGATATTTGCAATGGTATCCCGATTCCTGGAGTTAATAACACTGCTTCACTAGATTCTGGTGTGGCTGACAAGTTTGTCTTCAAGAGTACAGATAAGGTACAGCCCAATTTGGCAATGCTTTTCTACCACAGAGACAATTAAGTTATGTGCGAATGGGTTTCCTTCCAACTTTTATCAGCAATTTAGACCTTTAGCGGCAGTTTTTTTTTTTTTTGGGGTCAAAAACCTTTAGCGGCAGTTAAGACATGAGTTGTTTAACAGTAGATGCTCGCACTGATTTAGAACTGATTGCCTATAGTATAATATTTGGTGAATTTCTTAAGCGATTAGCTATTTCTTACAATGGGGAAATTGATAGTAGGAAAATTTCGTATCTAATAGCTTCTTTAAAACTATACAGATGTTAGGAGATTAGATGTCCTCTTTCAGTCATTTCGTGATGTAGAAGTAGATTCCACCCAGTATATGAACACCGGCTTGTATTTACAGATATATACTGAAAGATTCTCATATAGATGTCTTTCTGATTGGGTCATACGCAGGATGTCTCCAAGGAACTTCCAAGTTTTGCTGACTCTCGTGGACACATGATACCAAAGAAACCGGCTTCGGGGTCTAAAGCACTTCTTCCATCTATTTCCATCGATAAGCCTCAAGTACGGGCTACGGTTTCTTCTGATAACTCCGGGTTTACGTTTCCCATTTCTGCTTCACGTGGGATGTTTCCTGAGCCACCAACACCGTCCATCACGCCTCCATCTTTTGTCAATAGTCTGCATCAGCCACAAGAGGATTCCGCCATTCCCTCTTACACATTTGGTCTGAGGAGCTCTTCACCTGCCCTGGTCTTTTCTTTCCCTTCAACAAGCAATGCCTCAATTCCCAGTGATGCCTCAGATCTAAAATTTACGTTCGGATCTGATAAGAAGAGGATTTCTTTTAGTTCAATAGGAAATGATAGCATTTGCTGTTAAGTGTAGACATATATTTGGGTTACTTTCATGAAATTTCTTTATTATTCTCCTTTTCAAAGATAGAGTTTACCCGGTCATTTGAATCTATTTTCTACTTAGTTTGGAGTCATAGGACTTTGATTGAACAGGCCACGCGGGTGCATTTCAGAGCCACGGGATCGGCCTTGATGTATAGTAAATGTTAGTCTTGTGGGGCATCGATGCTCGATTGAAGCAAATATGGCATTTTCACGGGGAACTGTAGATATTATTAATCAGACTGTCTGTGGTTTTGAATATCATTCTAAGCATTCCGATTTCAGGCACACCTTTTGGGAAAATGTGGAAGCTCTTTTTCACCCTCTCCATTTCATCTCTGGAAGTATGCGAAGCGAATCGATTTTTTTGGCTATGTTCTACGAAAGTCGTCTCATGACGGTTTGTGTTCATTCAGTGCCCCATGGTGTTAGTGGGTATTGACACTAGTAGCCTGGAAGTTACATGTGAAGTACTCGGATTGGTCCGGTTGTTATCAATCGCTGTTATCTAGCATCGTGGCTCTCATGTATGTGAAAGGATATTTCTAGGAAAGTTGTCTCATGAAGGTTTTTAATTACAAGGTCGATTTCCTGGGTTCGCAACTCCGGTTCCCCATGTTACTCATATAGAGTGGAGAGTCAACTCGTAGGTTGCGTTATGAGATACTTGAACAAATTTTGCCCGCCCGAGGTCTAGAGCAATGTAAAATCTGACTTTTACATTGAGGAATCAGTCAGTACTTTTTGCAGGATCCAATCGACGTGTATCATATCTCCTTGAAAATAATAGGAAGAGTTTCCACTTGCCTGTGCATGAGGAGGTTCAGGAGCATTCCGGGAGCGACACGTGGCGTGGATTCTGACCACTCGGGAACAACGAACATGCTGTCGTTCACGGAACATGGTGCCAAATGGGAGTCACATGTTCCCATCCAAATGACTCACGGAAGAGGGAGGAAGAACTTATCCCCTTGCGCCTCTGCTAGAAAACCCAATCCCATGTGGTGAGAGAGAGAGCAATTGGGTCCCGCACCAGAAATTTGCAAATCAGTCAGAAGCAAGTTTTCGTGTGATGGGTCCCAATTAAAATGGTACTGTGTGTCCTCGTGTGGGAACACTAGGATCAAAGCATATAAGATTCCAAAGAGCAAGCAAGTGCGTGAGAGAAGGGGGAGAAGTCAGAGAGGGAGAGAGAGAGAAGACATCAGAATTGAAATTGAATGCGTGATCAGACATTGAGCTTGACGTTTCAGATTCTAAGTGTCAGAAATAGGTGTCAGTGCAATGCAGAGAGAGAGAGAGAGAGCAGCCCTTCCAACCTAAATTTTTTTTAGTTGATCCATGTGCGGTGTGTGTGTTCAGTGCATATAAACCTTTAAAATTGATAATTCTCACATGAGACTCACATGATTAAAGATCGGGATGCATTGTGCTTATATGTACCGGTAAATCTGAAAATGTCTCATCCTTAAGGCTATAGGCCCATAGATCCACTACATTACAATTAAAATTGAACTCTTAAGGAAAATTTATTATTATCAATTCAATGTTTGTCATGTATTACATGTAACCGGTGCGTTGAAAATGTAATATTTTATGAATGGGGTATGGTTAATAATTACTTGTAACCACTCGTTAACAAAATGTCTATTCTATTTATTTATTATTTTTGTTAAATGATATATAGCTTCTTCTTTTCTTTCAAAGAAAAAGGAGGAGGATAAAAACATGTTCAGGGTGCCTTCTGAATTCTGATAAAAGCAGCATATGCCAGCTTGTAATCTGCAATATTATCCCACTTTGCTGATCCCGAGGTGCCCCAATTGTTTTTATTCTCTCCCACCTTCTTCCTCCCCTGCTAACCCCACCCCACCCTTTTTCTCTATCTCCCACTTAAAAGCTGTACACACACATCCACAAACACCTGCATATATCATCACCCATATTCTGGTTTGTTGGGAACTAACCTTGCAACATTTTGATTTTCTCAGCCGTTCATTGAAATTTTTTAAAGTGTTTGTGCAGAACAACATTTTATGTAGGAAGTGCAGTAAAATGAACTTGAATACAACATTTTTAAGACGATGGATTGGTCCTTTGAGAGATCATAAAAACCCTTCAAGTGAGAGAGGGTTTTTCTTTCTTTCTCCATTCCTTTTGCTTTTGTTTTCTGTTTATGTAAGGCTGGTCCACAAAGTGGTCAAGGTTTACTTGCTTTGAGGTACGAGTTTGTGAGTTTACTGCCAAATACATTAACAGGAAAATGCATTATTTCTGCTTCATAAAAATTAGGAAAACTCAATATTTTTTTTCCTGCCTCCCATATATGGTAATTTCATGTAACTTTCATAACTTGAATCATATGGCATGATGATGTAGTATCATCAAACCACTTTATTTTTTTTTTGTAAGTATCAAACCACTTTATTAAGTATTCTCAATTTCAAAAATTGTGTTTATTATTACGAAAAAAATGGGAAATAAAGAAGAATATTTCAGTAGCTACTAATATCAAGTCGATAAAGCCAAGCAATAAATTAATACAAGATCTACTCAGGGGTGGACTCTCTTTTTTAAGGCATTTTGGTGGCTTGAAATGCCCTCAATCTCAGTGATATTTTCTCTCTCCACAATTAGTCTTATTTGGCTCGCCGATTTTGAGGTTTTTAGGACCAAAAAGTCAATAAGTGACAGCTTATACAATTTTGGTAAAGGGCCAACATGAATTGGAAGTTTTATAAGACCTTCCTAAGAGGTATTAGCCAGAGATAATAAGTTTTCTGGAACAAAATGGAACTGTCGTTACCCACCATCTATCGTTGCAATTGAGTCATAAATATTTCACACAGAACTACGAATAATATATGGCCCATTATGACATGACAAGACAATCTTGATAAACATTGTATATCTCCAGCATTAGTAAATTTTCAGCAATAATTGATAGGAGGGACATGTTTTGTGCTTTATAATTCACAATTGTGCTTTTATTTGTGTCTTTCTATGGAATCTAGCATAGAGAATGAGATCATTTGAAACTTCTTTCACCGGATAAATATGGGGAAAAATCGAGTATTACTTGATGTACTCGAATTATACTAAAATCCTCAAGTCCAACCGCTTAACCTACGCGGCAAGACTGGTGTATATCCTTTATTATATCATCTACGATCTGATAATTGAAAGTTTCTCTTAGTTTTTTGTAGTGTCGACAAAATGGCCATACAAAAGAAGGCTAACAGAGAATATCTTACAAGTACTATACCAAAGTTCAAAGTTTGTTCTTTCCGCTTGACAGGCTCTGTGAGACTTAGTTCTTCATATCTTTCCACGATTTACTTTGCCAAATTAACTATTGATGTCCTTAGCTTTGCCTCTTTCGGGCAAATACGTTTCTGACTGGACCAATTAGCTCGTGATTCACTCGAGACTCAATGACTCGAATTACATCAGGTTTTTAATTTGATATGTGAACTAGATATTACAGTCGCTTAGTGAGAAAATTGGATGCGGCTTTGAGCTTTAAAAGCATGAACCTGACATGCAGCGAAAGCCATTGAACTGAATCTGAAACTTTGCAATAATAGAAAGTACCTATGCTGGACAAACCTGGTTTCTCATAAGAATTCCTAACCTTAAAGTGAAATGTAAGTAATCAAGCTCTAAACCTCATAGCGATCGATACAACTTTAACATAACAACTCGAAGAGTCGAATTCATCCGTTGAAAAAGTGATTTTAGTGACCAATGTTCCCCGTTTTGCGCTAGCCTTTTGGTAGCTTTGCTTACTGAAGAGCTGTTTGAATGAAGAAAGGTTGCGGCGTTTTCTTGGGTTCCATGTTGCTTGAGATTCACATTAAGCTGAGCCACTTCTCTCTTGAGAACAAAGTGGATGAGCAGTGAAATGTGAACCCTAATTGCAATTATTAGTCAAGAACAGCATAAGGCCAAGTTTGAACGAAGCTATACCAGAAAGCTTTTCTCCCTAGCTATTGCTTTTCAGGAGGATCTTTGGACACTGAGATTGGATGCCAGATATGTGGTCCAATCACTTTATCAAAAAATATCAGAAGCCTGCCATTTGCAGCCTATGCTCGGGCACTTAGATCCCTTTTTCTAGACATCTACTTTCATAAACAACAAAAGAAGCAAGAAAAAGGGAAAAGAAATAAGAACAGAAAAAAGGAATAGCATCTCTTAAGTATAAGGCATTATTCGTGAGAAGAACGTGATGGTGTCGCTATCCATGACTTCCCTATCGTGATTTAAGAATGGTTTACTCACCATAAACCCTAGTCCCATTAATTAGTATCGGGTATTTTATATTTTCGATAATATTATTAGATGATTTTCCCCCACAAAAAATGGTTTAGGAGCCATGTCATATCCGATATAATAATTATTGAAGTATAGGGGGCATAGATAACTTTGCCTCGATTTTTTAGGAGTGTCTAATTGTTAAGCATAAGGCGATAATGAAGCAGAAATGAAATTGAGAGAGTAGAAGCGATACAAGAAATTGATATGGCCTGGCCAATGGCCTCTGGATAGAGCTCAGAATTTGGAGTATTGCAATAAATAAATAAAACTCTCAAAACCTCAAGCCCCTGAATAAATTGGATATTTTCCACACATTCTGAAATATCAAAGTTGAAGAGTTATATGAAAGCTCTAGAAAAAAAAAGTTATAATGGTCGATGCTACAGCCTCATGAAAATTTCTCAATAAGAGGATGCCACAAAATTTATTGGATTAGGTTAAAATAGGACCATCATTGAGGAATTCAAATCACAAACAATAATAGTAACACCCCAAAGTCCCACAGGAGAGTCTATGTTGAGTGATTCATAATTAAGACTTGCCCTTAAATGATCGCCACTTTGTTTGATTACTTGATTATTCTTTTTGGGGTCTCTGGTCCATATGGAACAAGTCGGATCGATATAGATGATATTGGAGCCGGACTCCATAAGTAGATGTGTAGTTCATGGACGAATTAGGCCCATACCTAGTCTAACGAGATCAAAAAGTGCTCACCGAGGCAACATGGCTCGGATAAATTGCGATTTTTCAAAGGCTTCTAAGATGGTGGAGGAGGTAGGAACATACCAGATCACTCATCGATTAAGGAGAGTATTACTTGATGAGCATGTTAGTTCTTTAAGTTGGGAAGTTTGTGACGTCCTACAATATTCCATTGAATGGAGATGGCCTGCGAAAAAATTCATAAGTAAGATCCAACTTCAAATGATCATCAACTTGTGTGGTTACTTGGATACTCCTTTTAA